TTGATCTAGGAGCAGGCGTTAACCTCATGCCACTCACAGTATATCACCGACTCGGGCTTGGCAATTTGAAGCCCACCAGGATGCGCTTACAGCTTGTAGATCGCTCATTCTGTCATTCAAAAGGGATTGTGGAGGATGTGCTCGTCCGTGTGGGGAAGTTGATAGTCCCCGTGAACTTCGTTGTGCTTGATGTGGGGAACGTGAAAGAAAATTGTAAGGAGCACGCCATCCTCCTCGGACGACCCTTTATGGCGACAACGTGCATAGTTATTGATATGAAGAAGGGGACTGCGAGCATGACTGTGTTGGGGGAATCTACCCTCATTTCCGTTCGAGAGACTCAACCTGAGCCGCAAGTGAAGCTGGTGGAAGAGTGTGGGTACCTCAGGGCGATTGAGCAGCTCACTGAGAAAGCGTGCATGCGAGAGCACGCTAAGATGTCATTGCAGGACTGAGCTTGTGTTGAGAAAAGACGCCAGACTGACCGCCATACTACCCCTCCCCAACCGAGTTCCAGAGAGTTGCCCCGATCCCAATGGGGCGAGAGATTTGAGTTGATAGAGGCTCACCGCTGTTCGGGCCTGATTACCTCCACCCTCCACCCGCACCACCGGATTCATAGTGACTCGTCTAGTCACTGTGCCCTATACATTGTATCTTGTCCTTCCTCTTTATTTTCGTTGTTGGTTTAGTTTTTCTGTCTTTTGTTATTGGTTGATTATGTGGGCAAACTTTACCAGCACTAATGATCGACAATGGGGACATTGTTCGGCTTTAAGTGTGGGGGAGTTTTTATGTGTCTATGTGGTTGACCAGGTCTAGTTCTTTTAGGGTGTTTTCATTTTCTGTTCTATTTGAGTGTCTTATCTTGAGTCAGTTTGTGTGTTTTGAGTATGGATTGTGGTGGATTGTGAGATTGGTTGATAATTGTTGATGAAGTTGAGGAGATGTGATGATGATCATGACCAGTATATCTTGGTGAACTTGACGTGTCGGCTTGTTGGACATTTATTTACCTTATGTGAGGTTTGAGCCTTATGTTGTTTCTTGAGAGATATTGGTCGGAATCTTTGGTAATCAGAACTTGCTTTGAGTCTGTTTTGAAATGAAGTGATTGAAGTTGTGATTTGTGAAAATGATTGAGGCATTTCTTTGAAATAGCTCGTTTTAGCCTTTTTCATTGACCCTTGAACTTATATTTTCATTAGTAGCCTGTTGAGTCTTGACCCGTATTTCTTGTCAACCGATTCGATTGAATTATTTGAGATTTGACAGTGTACTTGTTATTATGACGGAGCTTTCTTATGTGTGTTTGGAGAAGGCTTATAACTTGTTTGGGTTGCATTTTGAGGAGAGAATGTCGTCTTTACGTCTCGATCTTGTTAGGAAAAAGAAAAAACCCTAAATAAAAAAAAAAAGAAAGAAAAAAAATATATCGAGTAATTGAATTGCAATTCACCTTGAGCATATGCGAGTGTTGTATGGAGTTTTGGTGGAAATGGTTAGTTCCATGTTCATTACGGATAGGTGGTGAGATATTCGAGTATTTATATGCTCGAGAGTGTGATTGTTTATATGAGTCACTTTATCTTTATATTTGTCCTTCCTTTGAAGCCTACATTACAACCCGTAAAGTCCTCTTGATTTGCAAATTCATGATCTTTGATTGTTTTAGAGTATGAATAGACAATGGACGAGCTTATGTTGAAACATGATCACCGACCAATTTGAGTATACCCAGTTCATATTCTTGTAAGAAACTGAGTGAGGCATATATATTATATTTCCGTGCTCGAGAGTTGTCTTTTCAAAGCGTAGCATCGAGTTGTACTTGAGGTGTGCTATATTGGTCATTGGAAGTCTCCTCGGCTAAATTGATTAATTTGAGACTTATCTTATTTGAAACTGTTATCCATGCTCATTTGCTTCTTTTCTTTTCTTTTCTTATCTTTTTGTTCGGGACGAACAAAGGTTTAAGTGTGGGGGAGTTGTTTATTCCATTTTTGTTCCATTTTTCCTTGTTATTTTTCATTTCTCTTTTTCCCATTTTAGGTTTTTTCGTTAGCTTTTACTCGTTTTTATAGTTTATTAGGTGTCTTGTTCAATTTTGGTTTTCTATGTATTTCTCGGGTATTTTTTCCGGTTTTTCTCGTCTTTGGTGTGCAGGATGGACGGTTCGGGAGGATCTATTTTTCATGATAATTGGACCGGGTGAACACAATTGCATAGATTTATTCGTTGGCAACACACAGGAAAAAGCGGAATTAAATTCCGAGTCCAGATGAACCCGTACGGGCCCGAGAAACTAAGTCGAGCATGCTGCCCAAGTACCAGCTTCAGGTCTCCGCGCCCGTGCACCGCGTCGCTGGGAACCATCGCGCTGCGGGACCTGCCTTTTTCCACGCCGCGGTACACAGTGAGGCACACATCACGCCTGGACAGAGTCTCCCAGCCTGTCAACGCACCACGCCGCGGCACAGCAACGCCCCACGCCGCGGCAAAGCAACCCTCAGCGCCGCGAGCACCTACCACGCTGCGCCAGACGAGACTCCCGCATCGTGCCGCACGAACATCGCACAGTGGACCCTCTCTGCTATATATATGCGTGTACGTCGTTCAGAAAAGGGATCTCTCATTCGACGAACACAGAAAACCCTACCTCTCTCTCTTTCTCTCGTTCTTTTCACATCTCTTTCATCATTTTCAAAGTAGAACAAGGATTTAAGTTCAGATTCCATTATTGCTTTCGGATTCAAGATTGTTTATCGATTTCGACTTTGGGATTTATCAATCGTAAGATTTTCTTTTAACTTAATCGTTAAATATGAATTCTTGGGTTGAGATTGGTTGTGTGGATTATTCGATTATGAGTAGCTAAATTCTTATGCTAGGGATAGGGGATTAATGTTTTGGTGTCGTTTGTGATTGTCGTGCTCGTAATTGTTCAATTTGTACGAGTTATTATTCAAAAGGGTTTTTCAATTATTACGCTTGAATATTGAGAATTGTTGAATGGTGACACTTCAACTTCCAATTGTTTCAATTGGATTTGATTTATTCGTGTATGATGTTGGTGATTATTGATAATTGATTAACAACCCTCTAGTCTAATTTAATCGACTCTTAGAACCGAGAGGGGAGGAGTCGGTCGAAATAAGCTCGTATAAACTAGGCTTGTTCGTAACTATATTGCCTAGGTGTTGAATGAAATCGTTAATTTGCCGTTCACGTTTGTCCTCTTGTTACGAAAAGTTATTGATGACGAATCTCTGAACAAGTAGGCTACTCGATTCATTTAGCCGAACGATCACCTGCCCATTAATTGCAATTCGAACCAAAACGGATATCCCCGACTCCCTAGCTTCTTAAATCTTGCTTGTTCAACGTTATTAATTTGCAATTTCAATTTGCTTTATTTAAATCTTAGTAGTTGATAATCAAAAATCAAACCACAATCTAAATTAGAATGTTTAGGAATTTTATTTCTTTTATTGATGTTTGAATAAACTTGCATAATAATCCAGCTAACCTTCCTCGAGAGACACGACCCGTTGTTCGAATCTTTTGATTCTACTCCGAAAAACACCCTAACCAACTCAACATATCGAAAAATACAAAAACTTCACATAATACACGAGAACATGTTAAAATAAATAGGGTTTCGAGCCTCGATGTACCGTTCTCACAAAACGTTCACGAGACGGTCGAGAGAGGGCTGAACCGGGGCAGGCGCACGCTTGTCGGGCTCACGAGGAGGGCCTGAGGTGATGCAACAAACGAACAACAGAGAAATCGCCGAGCACGAGAACTCACCGGGAGTTTCAAGTTCGGGCCTGCTCGCGGAGGGAAGCACTCGCCGGAAGTTGCAAGGGCTTCGCCCCGTGCTGCTGTTCACGGTGAGGAGGATGGTGGAGAACGGCGAGAGAGGATGAGAGGAGATTGTTCTCCTCTCATTTTCTTTTCCTTTTTTTTTAAAAAAAAAATCGCGAGGGACCGAGAGAGATGAGATCGTGATCGAAATATTTTTCTTTTCCTCTTGCGTGAAGGATGAAGAATGATGAGAGAGATATTTGGGAGAGATGAGAGCGGCGTTGAGTTTTAACAAGAGAGAGAGAGAGAGAGGAATACAAATGTAATAGTCCTAGGGTAAATATTCTTATTCTCCAAGCCAAAAAGGAAAAATGGGTCGCGGGTCGGTTTGGGCGGTTCTTGGGCACACGGGCCGGCTTCGCCTACTGGTTTATCGGGCTCTATTTTATTAAATCCGATAGTTATACAACGCTCAGAAAAATAAAATATGATGACCCGAAAATTTAAATAAATAAAACCGACATTATATATATTTATTACCACACAATAATAAATATATTATTAAGCAATTATTTAATTTTAGAAATTAAATAATAATAATAATAATAATAATAATAACAACAACAACAACAACAACAACAACAATAACAACAACAACAACAACAATAATAATAATAATAATAATAACAATAATAATAATAATAATAATAATAATAATACCACAATTATCCGAAAATTCAATAAACGAACGACTTAGATTCGAATTACGCGATTAAACCGAAATCGCCGAACGACGAACGTTTTAAAATAAAAAGATCGAGTACCTCAACACAGAAATTTAGTCGACATCACGACTAATACAATATGCATAATCTTATAAATAAAATTCGATAAATAGAATAATTCAAAAAATTCTATAAATCGAACGGGGCGCTACAAACGGCTTTGACGATTAAACCTTTCTTTCAGTCTTCAATTGATTATAAAACACCCAATCGAGAGACCTACTACAATTATTAGGGTTTTTTGTGTTTGAAGATTATCCAAGGCATAAATCAAGTTATATTTCTTGATTATATTTTATACTTTTAATGTTTTATTGTTTCATTGTTTGATTATCAAACTCTTTTTTTATATGTTTGTCTAATATTATTTTTCACGTTAATTACTGTATGTGTTGGAGAAAGAGCCACTTAACCAATTTTCACCGTGGGCTCCAAAAATGTCAGGGCCGCCCCTGTTTGTGCCGGTACACAAGTTCCCATAAAACCTTTTCATCGCCATTCTGCTTCTTCACTTGCGAATTATTGTTTATCTACTCCGTGCCCTGAAATGAACGGAGACGATAAAATTGCCGCCTCCGATGATTGCGCCGTTCTGGTGGAACTTCCGTTGGGCGACGCCGCGCCGGATTTCAGCCTGGAAAAGGCCGTCTGCAGCCACGGCCTTTTCATGATGTCGCCCAACCACTGGGACCCACACTCTAAAACCTTCCGGCGGCCCCTCCGCCTTGATGCAGACGGCGATGAAACCTCGCGCGTGGTTCACGTCTCCCACCCTCCCGACTCCGCTCACGTGCTCCACGTCCGCGTCATCGGCACGCGCGTTCTAACCACCCAGCAGCAGCAATTCTTGCTGGTCTGGCTTCCTTTCATTTTCCTTCGATTTTGTACTATTTAGCTGTTTTAATTCCTTATGACAATTATTTATGGTGTGACTTTATCTGCTTATATTGGATGCCCAATTAATACTGCCACTTTAGTGTATTGTTGTTGGATGCTCAATTGAATTCTGATTCAAACAACACTGAATAAAGGAGCTGAATGTTATGCTCTGTTTGGCAGCAAGAGCCTTTTTTATGTGGCTTTGGTGTGTCTCCTTGCACTATTGTACCTTTTACAAGTTTAACTAACTGTATGTTTGTTTCATATGAGACCTTGTTTTATTTTCCTTGAATCACATAATCAGTAGTGCATTTGTTTTCCCTTTATATGGTCTCTTGCTCTGTATGATCGACATTCAGCCATTGAATTTTCAGAGTCAAGTGAGGAGAATGCTACGATTATCAGAGGAAGAAAACAGGAGGATTGTTGAGTTCCATGAATTGCACCAAGAAGCAAAACAAAGGGGGTTCGGGAGGATGTTTCGATCACCCACATTGTTTGAGGATGTTATTAAGTGCATTCTCTTGTGCAATTGCCAGTGAGTGACAGTCACTTTTCTGTTGTTTCCAATGTTATGCTATGCCGTGCATACATTTTTTTATGAACTTCCTTGCAATGTTCTCTTCACAATTGTGTCTATGACGTTGATGAGAGAAGTAAATGAAAATTGGATAGCGTATTGTCTTGGAGATATTTCGTATTGTCTTGGAGATATTTGGAACCACTCGCAACTTAGAGGAGAAAGTTTTTCATAGTGTAATGAAAATGTAACCTTTTCACATACAATTGCAGCCTTAATCCCTGTATCATGATTTGTCATGTTTGAAATTCTTTTAGTTTCATCTTCATTGTGTGTTTTTGAGCTTCTTCTTCAATCTGCGAATCATGCATCTAAAGACTTGTTTCACTGTCTTACCTTGGAAATTGAGTAGCTATGAGTCCCCTTTTATTTCAATAACAATGCTCATCTGATCTTCATTACTTTCCAGGTGGTCAAGGACTTTGGGCATGGCTCAAGCACTTTGTGAGCTTCAAGCTGAACTACAACATCCATCGAACGAAGTTCACATTTTTGCTCCCAATACACCTGCAGGAAAAGAATCAAAAAGGAACTCTGTAGCTCGTAAATGCTCAAAAAAATTAGGAAAAAAGTACACAGAGGATATAGCTGCAGTAGAAGACATCGAGACAAACATCAATAATTCCGAAATATTGAATTTTTCTGACGAAACAGAAAAGTTAAGTACAACCCTCATTTCAACACATGTTCCTATGTCTCAGCCTTCAGAAGGGACAAAAGATCATTTGGGCCCCACAATTGGTAATTTCCCGAGCCCAAAAGAATTGGCGACACTTGATGAGGGTTTCTTGGCCCGGCGCTGCGGTCTCGGTTATAGGGCGCGTCGTGTGATAAATTTTGCTCGGGAAATTGTTCAAGGCAGATTTCAATTGAGCGATCTCGAATGTGTCTCGTGTGGTACAGTCAGCATATCCAATTATGAAAATTTGAGTGAGAAGCTGAGAGTGATGGAGGGGTTCGGGCCTTACACGTGCGCAAATGTACTAATGTGTGTGGGCTATTACCATGTCGTGCCTTCGGATTCAGAAACAATTAGGCATTTGAAACAGGTCAATTTCATTTACCTTGTTGCTGGTTGATGATTACCGTCATAAACTAAACCTCACTAGTGAAACCTTGAGATTTAGCTTAATTGATTATACAGTTCAATTTCCATAACTGGAGATATTTGTCGAGTTATACAGATTAACTGAAGTCTTTCTATATCTTATTGTGCAGGTGCATGCAAAAAGGTCCACAATTGAGACAGTTCAGAGTGATGTAGAAGATATCTATGGAAAATATGCACCATTTCAGTTCCTAGCTTTCTGGTATGCGATTGTAATTCATGTTATTTGTATTCTTGTTTGTTTCCGTTTTTTTCAACTCATATTTTCTCTTCTTAGCTAGGGTTACGGTTTCCTTCATGAAATTCTTGCTTTTTGCCAGGTCAGAAATTTGGCAGTTTTACGAGGAACGGTTTGGTAACCTAAGCCAATTGTCTCCTACTGATTATAAACTCATTACTGCTGCAAATATGAGACCCAAAAAAAGGATGGGAAGTAAGAGGAAATTATCTGTTGTGGATGAAGTATGATGTGTGAAATGTGTTTAAAAACTACATCTGTACTTTTATTCCACAAGGAAAAAATTATAAAATTTTAACTTTCCTCTTTCCTTTTCGTTTTTCCTTGCTAAGATTCTGTCAGAATAAATTGTTTTTTTCGTCCTATATGTTTAGTTAAGGCAACCAAGTCGTCCCCTTTAAATAGCTGTTTTGATTTTCGTTCGTATATGTTTATAAAAAGGTTATAAAAAGGTTACTAAAAGTTCCTTGCCTCGTCGTGAATCTGTAATTTAATTGAAAACATGCACGTGAGCCTAATGTGACCTGTTTATTGGTCCATTTAATCTTCAGTGGAACTAGAATTCCAGCGCGACGATAGAAATTGACTAATGACTTACAAAATTAAACCAAAAATTTTAAATCCACATAGCTTGACTTGTCGAAATAAAAGTCTGGAAATAAAAACGGACATTTCACGAAATTACAATCAAATCACAAAATTCTCAAATCCCCAATCCCGTCTAAGAACCCTAGAATAGAAATTTTTCAAATTGCCAATCTCGTTCTTGTAAAACCTAGGCTAGGGCATGTCGGAATCTTTGCACGCTGCCAGTTACTTGGAATGTTGGTGCGGAAGAATGACAGTTATTCGGATATAATGGACGGCTGAAAATACAGGTAGGAGATTGCGTTCGTGCATCGGCTACAAGGTAGCCTATAATTGAATGTTATGAAGTTAATTGTGGTGAGATGCAAATTGATATTTCAATATTTTTCTTTTAACTTGTAGCATGGAGGATGTAATTTTTTTTCGTGGGTCGACCCTCTTATGTGTGACCGATCCAAAATATCATCCTTGGGTTGTTGAAAAAAATCAATGCGCTGGAGGGAGCAAATGAAGATCTGAAGGTTGAGAACACCAAATTGCACAAGAAGATTGAACAATTACAAGCATCCAACAAGAAGTTGGTTGAAAAGGAAAAAAAATGTGGGATGAGAATAGGGTTTGCACTGGCTATATCAAGTTTGTTGTGGATATTACTTTTATATCAAGTTCTGAATGGTTATGAGAAAGTTCGAGGATGTGGATTGAAGATAATTGTGTAACCTTTAATTTCCTATGTCCATTGTTTTTCCCTTGTAATGTGGTGCATTATAAATGTGGTTTTCCATGTTCAGGCTGTGTAATATACTCTTGTATTTTCTGCATAACCTTTATATATGTGGGGCATTACCATTATGGAATTTTACTATATAATGCAATTGTGGTTTTAATGGAATTCGGTTTTGTTTTTAGATTTGTACTGACCAGAAAATAGTACAATCTACCTCCAACTACACCAAATATACCAAACAAATCACTATTAAAATTCAATGTATCAAGACCCAAATTTGAATATCTATCCAGACAAACATCATACTAGATCCCTCCTTATATTCAGCAATTGGAGATGTACAAATTCACCTCAAAACCACAGAACTTGTGTTATGTGATTTCTACTTTCTATGAACCAAACCAAAAAAAGTAAATAAAAGAAAAAAACAAAAAACATATAAGCTGAGAAAAATGAGCACAATAGTATGTATTAATAAAATGCATAAATGTTTTTTTTTCAATCAAATTAAGTTTTTCACCGCATGAGGGTTAGAAATTAGGGTTTTTCGCTTCAAAATTAGGGTTTGCAGATAAAACCCTAATTTCATTTCAAAGTTAGGTTTTTCATTTAAGAATTCTATTTCATCTGGAATTCAGGGTTCCCACTTAAAAAAATGAAGATTCCTTTACAAGTATAACTAGTAGTCACTCGTGCGATGCACGGGGATATTATTATCTAGAATGTTTTTAAAAAACAATTTTGTATATAAATTGTGTTATGCAGGCAATGATCATGATCATAATAATAGACATATAAACATATCATAAAATTAAAAAAATCATATATTATTGAACACTTCCCTATATACAACATTATTGGTTTGATTCTTTGGCACGTCATCTTCGCCACAAATTAAGATTTTCAAATCTTTTCGTTTAGTGATACGGGAAACAGAAACATATAACTGGCCATGACTGAACATTGGTTTCTTAAGAAATAAGCCAACATGAGATAAGGATTGTCCCTGGCTCTTGTTTATAGTCATGGCGTAAAAAACCATAATGGGAAGCTGTCGCCGCTGGAACTTGAAAGGAATTCTAACATCAGAAGGAGTTATGGTCATTCTTGGAATCAACACCTTATCACCAGCATGATCTCCCGTGAGTATCTTACACTCAAGAACGTGAGTCGATAGCTTTGTCACTACCAATCGTGTCCCATTACACAAACCCATAGAATGATTCATGTTCTGCAACAACATGACTGAGTTCCAATCTTTAAATACAACTCATGGTTCGGTATTCCGGAACACTTGATACTATTAAAAAATTCAGGCATATGGAGATCAGACAAAAAATCATTATTAGAATTCGATTTGCACGTACTGTCAGAGCTCAAGTACATACGACCATCCAACAAATTCAATGATGTCATGTACTGATTGATAGACTCGACCACATCCAACGTAGGCGCTAATATAGCCCTATCCTTCAAATAACTTGGATCATCGGGTGCCTCTTTATACATTGGACATGTGCTTTCAACTATCTGAGCAATAGGATCATCAGATGGCTGAAGCAAAATGTCCTCGGGTATGTCTATAGGTGCACATCCATCATTCAACCCTTTGATAGTTCCATCTCCGATGTTGGCTATCCAATTTGCAAACCGTGCAAGCTCATCACATTCATCCGAATTAGCAAGTCCCTGAAGGCGCATTTTTTCGCCATATGTCAGAAGAATTAATGGCAGCATTGACTATGTCCTGACGGCTACCCTTTAGAATGACTGGAAGGGTTTGTCGAAAATCTCCACAAAAAACAATCGGCTTCCCACCAAACGGTTTGTTCAAAGTCAAAGGATCAATTGCTCCCATAATACCCTGCAGCGACGTCTGTACAGCTTCGAAATAATGCTTGTGCATCATTGGTGCTTCATCCCATATTATTAGAGAAACACGAATTATCAATGGTGGATATATACATTCCGATATTACTCTCAACTTGATAGTTTCGAAATGCATAGACAGCACCTTCTTCGAGCTCATTGATGAAAGTTGGGATGTTGATTGCTTTACTATTCCAGTAATTCGACCTTCCTGAAAAAAAAAAAAAAAATAGATATTAGATATTATAATTAACATGATGAGAAAAATGGATAATTATTATTTTTTATTATGAATTAAACCTCAATGTCATGAAAGACAATTTCAAGGATGCTCTTGTAGGATGAGTATTGATTAGTCCTTTGGAAAACTCGAACCACCCTCAACTTGAGCATTGGTCTGTTGATCCTTGTTACTTGCTTGATGTTTCCCCATACTCTCGCCATTTTTCTGTTTGTATGTGAAATTGTAGTGTGAGATTTTTGTGATACGTGATATAGGCTTCGATGTTTATTTTATAGCCATGGGATGAAAGTAGATAACCATTAAATGATAAGATTAGTTAGACTCACGTTAATCTCTCTTGATAAGATTCATTGCACGTGATTTTAATTTCAGAGTTCTAATAAATTCAAACTCTAATATCATGATAAGATTAGTAAAACGTGATTTATCAGATTGTTAACTCTAGATTTATCCACCGTAGTACTCTGCATTTGTTATGTTTTTTAAATGAATGACATTGAATTCAAATGGAATATATTTCAGTCAATCCAAACACAAATGATTATCACGTTGGTATGAACCGAAACTTTTATGATGATAAGATAAGTGGAAGTAGTTAAGAAGTGGAGATTTTTGTGTGATAGCATCATTACATAATTACCATCACCATCAATCTTTCCATTAAATTTCGGTCCATACCAACGTAATAAAAAAAATTTCTTGAAAGTTTTTTTACATCAAACAAATAATATAATTACGTCAAAAATTTTGTACGTCAAAGTTTTAATTCAAACAAATCTTTTCATCTTTTTACGTCAAGATTTTAATAATAATAATTTATATATAACACAAATTAAAACAAATATTATAATCAAATTCATATTTATGAATATAATTCATTATGATAAATTATTGAAAAATCACGCAATATAATCCATTAAATGTACTTGATTTAGTTATTGTTAATTCCGTAAATTTTTTTGTTCAAATAAAAAATACACCAATTTTGAATTCAAATGAAAGTCAAAGAGTGATACTATGTCAATAAAAACCTAAAATAATTTTGAAATCAAATTGTAATTTTCAACCTTATCATGTATGGTGATAAGATAAGTGCAAAGTAGTTAAGAAGTGGAGATTTTTGTGTGATAGCATCGTTACATAATTAACATCTTTCAATTAAATTTCTGTCCATACCAATGTGATACAAAAAAAATAAAATTGTTGAAAAATTTTTTACGTCAAAATTTTACGTCAAACAAATATTATAATATTTTACGTCAAACAAATCTTTCCATCTTTTTACGTAAAAATTTTAATAATAATAATTTATATATAACACAAATTAATATAAATATTATAACCAAAATTCATATTCATATTTATGAATATAATTCATTATGATAAATTATTGAAAAATCACGCAATATAATCTATTAAATGTACTTAATTCAGTTATTGTTAATTCCGTAATTTTTTTTTACATAATCTTATATTTGAAATATTTGTTAAAATTTGTATTAATTTATATCTTGTATCATGACATTCTACCAATTTTAAACTAATATACAGTAGAACTCAAAAATAAAATGTTCAAATTTTCATATTCATGCGACATTTAATAAAAAAAATATCCAACGACATTTTATAACGATAACAAAATAATAACACTAACATTTATTATAGAATTCGGAATTCAACTACATGGAATAAAATTGAAATTCATAATAATCAAACTCTAAATATCATAAATATCTCCTGCTCCTTGCTAATGTTGAGGGAAAATATCAACATTTTGAGGAAAAATCCCAACATATTTGATAACATGAGTTCTTCCATGAAGCACAAGTTTCCATATGTTGGTTATGATATCCTTCTTCCCATTATTAAATTCAACGACATAGTTGCTGATCGCATACACCTCGCTTTCGTTCAGTACACCTCGAAATGCTCCCATATGTTTGGAACGTATTATCCCTTTAATGAATGTACCCTACAGTATAAATTTATAAATATGAATTAAAATATTTTTTTAAATTACATAAATTTGATATTACAAATATAAATATTTACCTGTTCATCATGAAACAGTATATGGAATGTGTTCCAACTCTCCCGTTGGTGATGCGTTTCAACTATTAGGACTGCTTTCAAGTGCAAAAAAGGCTTGTTTCTCCTACTCACGGAATCGAGTGTATCCCAGACTTGCGGCATTTATTATCAATGTGTTCTGAAATTTATCTTTTTTTTTTCTCTGTAAAATTTATCTCGGTTTCTTTTTTTTTTTCTGTGAACTGTGAATGACGTGAACTTTTTTTTTTCTAAACTGTGAATGACGTGAATTGTTGAGTAGTGGTAGTGCATATGATTTTATACCAAACAACCTTTTTTGAACTAAACATTCGCATAATTATGTAATAATAATCATGGATCCAATTGTGACTTATCCACATATCCCTATAATATCTCTAATNTATATTCGTTTATTTACACTTTACCAATCGAATGAAATGATATAATTTATTGTAGTTTTTTGATAAGTTTAATTTCAATTTATTGATATCATGTCAATAAACATAAAATAAATTATGTACAAATAATTTTTTTTTGAAAAGTTTATCAATATATTTAGATCAATTATTAATTTTACATTAAGTATAAAAATAAAAGTCTTAAAACAGATGGTCAAATATATCAATAAAAAGAAATAGAAAAAAATGTTTAAAAGAATGTCTGGAAAAAATTTGAAATTAATTAAGTAAGCAATATATATATATATATAATTTTTTTTCTTTTTTTGAAAAAATCATTACTTTTTCAAGTAAAACAAACTTTTATATATATATAAATATTTAATGTGATGCAACATGGACATAGTTTACAATAGATAATATTATATTATTACGTTGTTCCTATACAAACCAAACCCGTGATTAGTATTCAAAAGAACTTAGACCGATGTATACCGTCTTCAAGTGCTTAAAATGACATGAAAATTAAATTGTGTAAAAGCGCTACGCCTATAATGT